TATTCAGTTCCCAGTTCAAAGGTCATCTTAATAGCAAGGCCTTTCTTTAATTTCCTGCATCAAATAATATCCCTTTTGGAATGACTGAAGTACATAAATGAAAAATTAGGAATCACTAACCACACTTGGTTTGATAACATGAATTTGGTAGTAGTATCAGTGCAAGTTCATACAATGGTATTTAACGTGTCAATCTTTTAAGATACTAAATAAAAATCATCAGGACTTTCAGATATATGATCATCTAAACGAGTCTAAGGACTGATCACTTAGTCTCAACTTTTAGAGATATAGAAACAAGGATCAAAATACACAATTCATACCAAAGCCTGTTGTGGCTTTGAAAATCTCTTCAAAGAGTAATACATATTCTACCTTCCTAGAATGTTCACAAATAACCCTTCCTTTTTAGCAAATGCACACAGATAGTATCAAAGGAGGAAAGTTTTCTTGAAAACCACAACTCACTCCCTCTCTTGCCCAAGTGCTAAGAGAAATCTTCATGAATAAGCTATAAATCCTCTGCTTCATGGAACGGCGTACTAACTATCACACATGGGAGCTTACATTTTCCTTATGAATACCTATTACTGCTTAGAGTCGTGAAGATGCCCATAGTATGACACTAATGATGACACACGTTTTCAGGGATGACTGGCCTGGGTTTCAATTGCCTTCTTATGCTCACTTGGCTATCACACTGGGGGCTATTGATTAAAAGCTGTTCCTGAAACTTTTCAGTATGTTCCCTCTCTCACAGTACACAGATAATTAAAGCCAGCCACGGGCTGCCAAGTACTAAGTCCTTAAACTTCTCCTTTCATACCTATAGGCTAAAACTCAATTCATCAGTCCAGCTGGTCACTAATGTTTACAAAGGTAGCAATTTCCCCCACTTTTCACTGATTTCAAGTCTTGATCATTGGCATACGCTCCTTTTGAAGAAGTTCTAAAAGTTTAGTACATTCTCTCTTATACTTCTCTTGACAATGTGCAATGCTTTCCTTTACCCTCAAGAAAATAATTTGCTACCAACTTAATGATTTATTTACTTATCAAAGTAAATATCGCTATCTCAATCTTTAAGTCACAAATAGGGTCCTTGAGATGTTGATATGTATGTTGGTAAAAATTACCCTGGACTACAGGTGCCTGGGTGGATCAGTCAGGTAAGTCTCCGACTTCAGTTCAGGTCATAATCTCACAGTTCGTGGGTTTGAGCCTGCATCAGGCTCTGTGCTGACAGCTCAGATTCTGTGTCTCCCTCTCTCTCTCTCTGCTCCTCCCTGCACAATCTCTCTCTAAAAAATAAACACTACATAAAAAACAAAATTACTCTGGACTAGAGCATTATTATGAAATAGGAATAAAACTTGGGGGTGCGGGGAGAGGTCTCAACTGTCATTACATCCCTGATTCTGTTTCCTCTAATGTAAAGGATTACATTAGACTTAAAAATAAGTTTTTGAAAAATGCTCTTTTTTCAGTACCTCTATCTCCTTAAGTAGCATCCATATTATTCAATAGGAGCTGCTTATGCCAGTGGCCTGAACACAGGACTGAGAGGTGCTGAAGTATCTAATCATCAATCTAGTGATCTATTTTTTTTTTAATGTTTACTTATTTATTTATTTGAGAGACAGAGCATGAGTGAGGGAGGGGCAGAGAGAGAGGGAGACACAGAATCTGAAGCAGGCTCCAGGCTGAGCTTTCAGCACAGAGCCTGACGTGGGGCTCGAACTCATGAGCTGCGAGATCACGACCTGAGCTGAAGTTAGACACTCAACCAACTGAGCCACCCAGGTGCCCCCTACTTTTTTTTTTTTTTTTAAGAGAGAGAGCACAAGCGGTACAGAGAGAGAGAATCTTAAGTAAGCAGATTCCATGCCCAGTGCAGAAACCGATGTGGGTTCTTACGACTCTGAGATCATGACCTGAGCCAAAATCAAAAGTTGGATGCTTAGCTGATGGAGCCACCCAGGAGCCCCTTCAGTGACCTATTTTTTATGCCAATTTGAAGACAGCCTTCAAAGTTACAATAATCTCTCACTAAACAGTGAGCTCCTTGATGACTGAGGCAAGCATGCTGCTTTGCACTGTACAAGTGACAAACACATTTACTGTCTCACTTTACTACGTGATCGGTATTTTCTTTTTTTTTTTTTTAATATATTTTTGTTAACGTTTATTTACTTTTGAGACAGAGAGAGACAGAGCATGAATGGGGGAGGGGCAGAGAGAGGGGGGGACACAGAATCGGAAGTAGGCTCCAGGTTCTGAGCCATCAGCCCAGAGCCCGACGCGGGGCTCGAACTCACAGACCGCGAGATCGTGACCCGGGCTGAAGTCGGACGCTTAACTGACTGAGCCACCCAGGCGCCCCCGTGATCGGTATTTTCAAGAAAGTAAAAACTCGGAGTAAACATCTTTAGAATCTTTAGATTTAGTGATCTTTAGATCACTTCATTTTGTACTAGTCACACGTATGAATAAATTTGTCAATTAAAACATTCCTGACTTTCTTAATAAAAATAAAAAGTAAAACATGTAAATAATCATTTGGTATTTTTTTTGTAAATAACCATTTTTTTATAACTAATAGGAATATTACTTAACATATTTTCACAAAGTATGTATATCCAGCTCCATAATGGCTAACTAGAGCTAAAGATCAAGGTCTATATCTAATCAATTTCTTCTCTTATTCTTTAATTTTACTAAATTAAAAAAGAACCTAGAAACTGTGGAAAAATTTGTCATGGAAAACCACTTTTCAATATTCTGTTAGGGGCACTTGGGTGACTCAGTCAGGTGAGCATCGAACTCTTGATTTCAGCTCAGTTCATGATTCCAGGGTTGTGGGATTAAACCCCATATCAGGCTCAGTGCTGAATGTGGAGCCTGCTTAAGATTCTCTCCTCCCTCCCCACCCACCACCACTCTCCCCTGCTTGTCCTCTCTCTAAAATTATAATTAAATAAATAAAACAATTCACAAAGATCTGCCCAAGTGCCTTTCAACCTGCCAGCCTGTATATGCTAATGTGAAAAAGGAGACTCCTGTACGTTCTGCCAATGTCACTGTATAGCATATACATTTACTATGGATTTACACTCAGAAAAATATACATTAAGCATTATTTGATTTAGTTCCCAATTTTCATGATTTTTTTCAATACAGAATCATATCTGGAGGCACACTGCCTGCCAACTCTGCTCTAGATAGAAGTCATTGTGCAGATGTGCACTGACTAGCACCAGCTTTGATTCAAATGGGGATGCCTTTACTTGCTTCAACATCCAAATAGTGCTCTATGGCACTGAACCTGAACCAAGCATTTTTAATCTACACAACAGCTCACAAAATAATCATTAATCTAAAATTTCTTCTTTTCAACGGTTTAGTGCTTAACACATACACTGTTACTCAGCATTTCTCCCTCACGTACTTAATGTAGATGTAAGCACTAATGGCAAGAAATGACTCACACACTGCATATGATTGGGAAAAGTTATTTTGGCCTCTTTCTGGCAACACTTAATTGATTTACCAGAAAGGCCCAATCACACCACACCTACCTTAAACATTACCATAAAATCTAAGATTTCCCAGGATTGGGAAAGACATTTGAAAGGGATCTAATTCCATCTTCCATCTGTTCATCAATTCCTTCTGCTCTCGTTCCTCAAATGGACCCCCTACCTCTAACCGAACACATGGACGAAAAACATATTCAGTATCTGCCCTCCTCCCACAATGTAAATTGTTTCATCTCCAAATAATGTTTATCCAGTTCTTTCTCACATTATGCTTAGATCCAGCTCCCTATAGCTTCCCAACTGGGTCCCAGGTCTACTCCTCAATGATTCTTTCATGTGACAGACTTTTTTCAAACGGTTAAAGGATGCTATCAAATCCTCTACTCCAAGCTAAATGTCACTTACTCATTTAACTACTTCTCACATGGTTCGGGTGTCACCATAATCCTGTTTACTGTTATGTGCTCTTGTATATCCCATTTAGATTGTGATCCCTAAATCTAAACACAACACATACAAGTATATGACAGGCAATACATTTCTGGAGAACACATGAATAAACTGAAAAAAACCAAAGGCTACCTTAACTGTATCCCTTTTAATTTTAAAAAAATTTCAGAGAGAGAGAGTGCAAGTGGGAGAGAGGAGCAGAGGCTTAAGAGAATCTTAAGCAGGCTCCATGCTCAGAGAGAGCCCAACATGGGGCCTGATCCCATGACCCGGGATCATAATCTGAGTAAGATCAAGAGTTAGACGCTCACCAACTGAGCCACCCAGGTGTCTTTAAAGAATTTCTTAAGCAATCGCTACATCCAACGTGGAGCTCAAGCCCACAGACCAGAGATCAAGAGTCACATGCTCCACCTATTGAGAAAGCTAATACCCCATTTCTATTAATGCAGTTTATGATCAAAAATAATTTTTTTTGGCATCCATAGCACATTGATAACTCACATTCCTTATCTCCTTAACAAAAATTCCTAAGACCTTAAAGTTCCTTAACATGTATCCCTCTAAGTTTAGAACACTGAAATTTTGTATCTGAGCAAACAGTGTGCATGAGGAATATTAAAATCTAAGGTAGACAAATGCTCTGGCCCTTAGTTTTTACATTTGCAGAATGTAAACAAAATGTGCTATATTGATCGTTGAGGCAATTAAAAGCATGAATTAAAAGAATTTATTTCAAAATACAATAAAAACTATAAAATAGAGAAGCTTAAGCTTCTATTATCAGCATTCCAATTCTAATTTAACCAACAATGGTTTTAGAAATACCTTCTGAACCAGTTTTATGAGGAATTCAGAGCATAATTATCTATCTGAATTCCCATTGTCCCCAACCTACTATATTACAACACAACAAAAACGTGTGAGAAGTTCAGACACCATATTAACATGTTATTCTCATGGCAGGTACAAGATTTTCTACTTCAAAACACTAAGACACGTAATGATTACCTGTGGTTCAAAACCCATGTCAAACATTCTGTCTGCTTCGTCTAAAACAACATATGTTACTCTTCGAAGATTTGTGACCCGACCTAAGATGAGGAAAAAAAATAAAGACAAAACGAAAACTAAAAATCAGTCACAATTCATTTTATGACTACCAAGAACTTTAAAAAACTGTAAAGGGAACTAAAATGCCTGACTTAACCAGAGGGGTAAGTTAGGTATCTTTAAAGAGTGAACAGAAATTTTGGTCTACAAGATCTTAATCTAATGGCAAATACTTTCTGACAATGGGTATATGAGGCCCTTTATTTTGTCAAACTCGTCTCTTGCATACCATCATAGGGCCTGAAGGACCTGTAAAATTCAGAAAACAGCCCTCTCCAAAACACATCATAAAACTAAGACTGAGATGAAGCATCGAGCCACATCAGCCATTATCTGACAGCATCACCTAGAAAAAAACATATTAGAGATTACAGCGTATGTGTGGAAAGCAAGTTCCAGTGCTAACTATTTCAGACGCAGAAAACCTCCTTTTAATATTACTTTATAAACTACTTTCATATAGTTAGAAGCTTCTACTGGGTATATCAAAATACTAATGAGAAGCTATTCAACATCATTAAGTAACTGAATTATTAAACAAAAACTTCAAATACCAAATGTATTGCATACATACATTTTTCTACACAAAGATATCATAAGTTCAATGTTATTAAATGCTCCCAATGGTTTAAACAGATGCAAGTGGTTTCTTAGGCAGTGGAAAACTAAAAACATACACAGGAAAGTTTTTCTAAAGGATTAACACAAGCCTTTCTATCAAGTGATGAATCAATCACCTGGCAAAAACATGTATAAAATAGTTATTAAATATAAACCAAAAGGACAGATAAGGGAAAAAGGTAAAATTAATCAAGATGAATTTCAGGAGACTTAATCAATGCAGCATTGAGAAAAAACAAGGGATTATTTCATCAGCATTCAACCCAAAACTTTTTGTAGGCTGTACAAGCACAATGATTTATCAAACAATTTCGTTGTCACTTCGTCAACATCATATAGAATTAGAATTAAGTGTATACAGAAATTCAAGCCGAATGCTACAAGAAACATGCATTACTCACAGTTTTTAATACTTTATTATGTATATATTGAACACTGCAATGGAAACCTTTGAAAGCATTTTCTTCAAAAAATAAGAAATGAGCCAAAGTAAATGCTCTCCAATATTTAAGTACTCCATACTAACATTTGCAGCCCCCATTAGTTTTGCAAGGTTGGGAACAGCATTAAATTACCTACCTTGGATGGCTTAAGTCTCGGAAGCCCAGTTCTATAAATCTCGAAGGGCCTTTCTCCACAGAAGTTAAATAATGTCAACAGTTTAGTAACAGTTTTGATAGGGAATAATTTAACAAAGCACAACATAAGAGCTAAAAAACATGCAATATTTACAAAAGATAAAATTTCTTGAAGCTGCAATACCTTAATTTATCCAGTATTGTAATAAAACATTAGCTTCTGTGGAGGAAAAAGTCTGAAGTTTAGAATAATAAAAATAAAAAAAAGATAGCCCCGCCCAACCCCATTAAAAGCAAAGCTAGACCAAAATTTGATTAAGAATCCATGTTAAGAACCAAAAACATCATATGGAGTTAGTTTCAAAAAAAAATTCAAAATTAAATTGCAGTAATATTATGAATGCTTGCAACAGTTAGCTGGTTGCAATGTAAATTTTAAGATATTACAGCTTTAAGAAGAAATATAAAAAAAAATGGTGGTTTCTTGTATCTGCTTTGATTTAACAAAAATGTATAGAATTCAAAAACGAGAAATGAGAACAACAAAAAATATCCCTGACTTACCACTGTTAGCTGCTAACATGTCAATCATTCGACCAGGTGTGCAAACAATAATTTCAGCACCTCTTTTCAGCTCAGCAATCTAATAAAAAAGATGAAATTTTAGTCTATTTATCACTAATACTTATTTAAACAGATTTGAAAATAATGTCCAGGGTCACCATACAGCTCCATAAGGTAACACAGTGAAGTCTGATTAGAAGACTCCAAAGCTTCCTGCTTAATTCTTTGGAATGCTGGAGCACGACAAAGGAAAAGGAAGCAGCAACATGATGACAAGGTATTGTAACTTTGAACTCAATGAAAACCAGAGAATTTTACCAATTTTAATTTCACATGATCCCTTAAAAGAAAGGAACATTAGAAAGCAGTAATTAAAGCAATTATATACACCAATGTTTTTCAAGTCGAGAATTGTTTCCATTAGAGAATCATGAGTATCCACAACCAGTATTCTCATTTTCTAATTTTATTTACCTATTCACTTGTTATGTTTTTTTTTAATTAGATTTGATTTTTTTTGTTGTTTCTTTTGTTTTTTGAGAGACGGAGTGAGTGAGGGGCAAAGAGGGAGAGAGAGAGAGAGAGAATCCCACGAGGAGCAGAGAGAAAGGGAAAGAGAGAGGGAGAGAGAGAATCCCTCTGAGCTGACAGTGCGGAGCCCAAAGGGGGCTCGAGCTCACCAATACAGGGCTCGAACTCACGAACTGAGATATCTTGACCTGAGCCAAAGTCTGGTGCTTTACCAAGTGAGTCACCCAGGTGCCCCTATTTTTAATTTTTTAAAGATTTATTTATTTTGAGAAAGAAAAAGTGTGGGCAGGGGGAGGGGCAGAGAGAGAAATCCCTGTGCGGTCAGCACAGAGCACGATGTGGGGCTCAAACCCATGAACCCTGAGATCATGACCTAAGCAGAAAACAAGAGTCAGACACTTAACCGACTGGGCTACCCAGGTGCCTCAACAATCAGTATTTTTAAAATGAAATAGAATGGAAAAACCAGAATTTGTTAGAGATCAGTAAACTTTCATTTCACTTCTATATAAATATAACATGCATGCATGTCTAAAGTTATTTTTTGTAAATGTTATTTCTTACAATAAACTGTCATCAGAACAACTGAGGCAAGATAAGCTGAGAAAACATAAAGCATTTAACAACAGCAAATATTCCTTAAAAAGGAATGTGGTTAAATAAATTGAGATAATGCCACTTAATTTATTGCATTTTTCTAGTATCAGAAGACATATTCGTTATCAAAGCCTAAGAAGTCTTTTAAGAAAAAAAGTCGACTTTAACATTGTACAACATGACCTTTCCAAAACTTATTTGATCACACAACCTGGTTTTTTTCCTTCTTCTAGTTAAAGCAAAATTATCTAATAACCATCATTTTTTTTTTTCAACGTTTTTTATTTTATTTTTGGGACAGAGAGAGACAAAGCATGAACGGGGGAGGGGCAGAGAGAGAGGGAGACACAGAATCGGAAACAGACTCCAGGCTCTGAGCCATCAGCCGAGAGCCCGACGCGGGGCTCGAACTCACGGACCGCAAGATCGTGACCTGGCTGAAGTTGGACGCTTAACCGACTGCGCCACCCAGGCGCCCCATAACCATCATTTTTAAGAAGACATTTGGAAAAATGTCAAAGTAAAGAGAGTAAATGAAATTATGTTTAAATAACTCTTGCTGCAGGGCGCCTGGGTGTCTCAGTCGGTTGAAGCATCTAACTTCTGCTCAAGTCATAATCTCAAGGTTTGTGAGTTTGAGTCCTGCATCAGGCTCTGTGCTGATAGCTCAGAGCCTGGAGCCTGCTTTGTATTCGGTGTCTCCCTCTCTCTCTGTCCCTCCCCTGCTCATGCTATGTCCCTTTCTCTCTCAAAAATATATAAACATTAAAAAAAATTTTTTTAATAAATAAATAACTCTTGCCAAAAACAGTTAAAGATACCAGTGAGACAGGTATTAATGCAAAACAGTCATCACCACCTTTTAAAGATGTCACATGAATTAGAGCCAGTTGGGAAATCAGACGACCTGGTTCTGGGACAAATTAAGTCTTATTAGCCTAAACACTTTGATCAACTTACTTAACCTTTCTCGCCTTTCTTTATCTATAAAATGGAAAAAATATCTGCCTTCCTTGAGCAGAGAAAGACAAAGAGGAATATCAGTAAAGCCGAGGTATAAAAATGACTGAAAATCTTAAAATATAAGATTAACATAATTCATCCTCACTATTATTTTTAAACCTCATCTTTTTTAAGATTAAAAAAAATTTTTTTAATGTTTATTTATTTTTGAGACAGAGAGAGACAGAGCATGAACGGGGGAGTGTCAGAGACAGAGGGAGACACAGAATCTTAAACAGGCTCCAGGCTCTGAGCTGTCAGCACAGAGCCCAAGCAGGGCTCGAACTCATGGACTGCGAGATCATGACCTGAGCCAAAGTCGGACGCTTAACCGACTGAGCCACCCAGGTGCCCCAGTGGCTAAGATTTTATCAACGTTTTTTATTTATTTTTGGGACAGAGAGAGACAGAGCATAAACGGGGGAGGGGCAGAGAGAGAGGGAGACACAGAATCCGAAACAGGCTCCAGGCTCTGAGCCATCAGCCCAGAGCCTGACGCGGGGCTCAAACTCACGGACTGCGAGATCGTGACCTGGCTGAAGTCGGACGCTTAACCGACTGCGCCACCCAGGCGCCCCTTAGTGGCTAAGATTTTAAAAGCAATCATTATACAAATCACTAAAACAAATCACTTTTAGATCATTAAATAATTTAAGAATGGGAACACTGAAAGAAAAAAAATAATGGAAAAACTGAATGCTCCTTTTATAGTTACCTGCTCACTGATTCCTGTTCCTCCATAAACACAGACCACTCTAAGTCCCAGGGTCTTTGAAAACTTCTTACATTCTTTAGTAATTTGTAAAGCCAGTTCTCGAGTTGGAGTCATGATGACAGCTGAAAAGATAAATATGTCAAAAGCCTAACCACCAAAATTCTTGAAAGGCTATCCTGTAACGTGTTATATTTAACCTCTGAAATAATGTTCAGGTTTCTTAGTATAATTTTTTGTTTTTGTTTTCATTTGTTTTATGCACCTTTGAAACCCTCTTTCAAAAGGTTTGTAATAGTAGAGATTGTGGCGATTGCTAATTTTAAGTAGATTTTAAGAACATGCTACAGAAAGATAAATGAGAGTTAAATGTCTCACTCAAACATCAGGAAAATACTGGGGTGAAAAGAACGCAAATCATTCTCAACTGCAAATCACAGAGCAAAGATAATCAAGCGACTCACTGTGCTGCAGAGCCATACCGAGGCTTCCGGAAACAACCTTGGTGTGAAGGGCACAGAAAAAGTAGGAATATATTGTGCCCCGTTTCCAAGAGAGGAGCTGAGCAAATTTTCAAAACCCTACTCACACTTGCAAAACAGATCTCTGCCAAATGAATCAACAAATGAACCTGAAGACCTAATCCCGAAGGAGAGGATGGCACTATATATATAGCCTTTTAAGGCGAAAAACAAAAAATGGAAAATATATTTCCTTACAATCTTCTATGTTGAGTTTATAGATCCACTGACACTCACTAAGCACAAACCTCAATATAAATAAACAGATAGATGCACGAGGAGTCTACCTGCCGAGTCAGAGTTTAAAAATTGAGCTGTGCCAGGAGAGGCTGTTTTTGTACTTCTGAGGTGTCACTCCAGAGCTCTGAAGATTCTCACTCCACCTGCTGGTAAGGGGAAATCAGCCCCAAAGTGCCAAATTTATAAAGGAAATGTACATAAAGACATCTTTATTGTTATAACAGAACATTATAAAATATCAGGTCTTTCTGATTAACTGACAACAAAGTTGTTACCTGAATAAATAGTTTAATGAAAGGAATTGTACCTATTGGCCCCTCTCCTTCTTCTAATGACCTCTGATCCATGATGTGTCTAAACATGGGCAACAGAAAAGCAATGGTCTTTCCGCTTCCTGTCTTGGCAATACCAATCAAATCTCGTCCAGACATTATAGCAGGAATCGCCTGGGTCTGGATTGGCGTGGGTTTTTCATAGCCATGCCTTAAAAAGCAAACCAAAGAAAGACAAGGTAAGAACTGGCATCGCTGGGTCTCTCCAAGTCCCATAGTAAGGTTTTCCAAAACGCAGAATAGCTGTACAACGAATATTATTTGCCAAAAGGGAATGAAGGACTGAGGCATTCTACATCATGAATGAGCATTGAAAGTTAAGTGAAAGAACTGAATCACAAAAGACTATGTTAGTACGATCCCACTTATAAGAAACGTCCAGAAGAGACAAATCTGTAGACACAGTAAATTAGTGGATGCCTAGGAGAAAGAAGGGAGAAGAATGACTACTAAGGGATACAGGTCTCTTTTGGGGATAATGAATATGTTCTAAAATTAAATTATGGTGATGACTGCCTAACTCCATAAATATACTAAAAATCATTGAACTGTACAAAGAGTAAGGTTTATGATATGTAAATTATATCTGAAAACACTCAGCTGTTTAAGAAAAAAACAGTAAATTTTTCTATTAGAGTAAAAATGTAACCAATGGAATTAATTGGGTAAAAGAGCCATTCTGAATAGGAAGACACTGAAAAATGTAGAGAATAACTAACTACTCACTTTTTGAGAGAATTTAGGATCTTCATAGAAATTCCACACTGGACCCAAGATTTAATTGGTTTGGGGCAACCTTTTCCCTTGACAGTAATGCCTTCCATTTCCAACCGAAAAACATTTACCTCTACAAAACAAAATCCAGATTAAAAGCTATTAAATATTGTTTCATTAATGCCTTCTACTTTTCAATCAAGCATGGTAAAACTAAGAATCTTCAATTCTTGGGGCACCTGGGTGGCTCAGTCAGTTAAGCATCAAACTCTTGATTTCACCTCAGGTCATGATCTCACAGTTCATGAGTTCGAGCCCCGCACTGGGCTCTGTGTACTGACGGTCCAGAGCCTGCTTGGAATTCTCTCTCCCTCTCTCTCTCTGCCCCTCCTGCATACTCTCTCTCTCAAAATAAATAAAGAAACCTAAAAAAAAAAATCTTCAGGGGCACCTGGGTGGCTTAGTCAATTAAGTGTCCAACTTCACCTCAGGTCATGGTCTCATGGCTTGTGAGTTCAAGCCCCACTTTAGGCTTTGTGTTGACAGATCAGAGCCTAGAGCCTGCTTCAGATTCTGTGAATGCCCTCTCCCTCTGCCCCTCCCCTACTCAAGTTAAGTCTCTCTCTCAAAAATAAGTAACATAAAAAACGAAAAGAAAAGAAGGGCACCTGGTTAGCTCTGTCGGTTAAGCATCTGACTTCAGCACAGGTCATGATCTCATGATCTCACTGTTCATGGGTTCGAACCCTGCATTGAGCTCTGTGCTGACAGCTCAGAAGCTGGAGCCTGCTTCAGATTCTGTGTCTCCCTCTCTCTCTGCCCTTCCCCTGCTCACACTCTGTCTCTCAAAATTGAAAAAAATGTTGAAAAAGTAAAGGAGAAAAGTTTTCAAAAAAATCTTTTTTTTGTACTACTAAAGATAATTCCACACAAAATCTATAGGACACTTAATACAATTACTGCTGTGACCTAACAGGGGATTAAAAGAAATACCCCATTTCTATAATCTGTCTTTTATTATGTCTTACACTGAAACATCAATAAAAGAACCATGATTGACAGGTAATACAAACACTTGTTCTCCAAGCAAGAGTTGCCTAGATTATCCTTATTCTACCAATAATTACACAGATTCACACTGTGTAATTTGAGGGTTCCTAACCCTCAAATCCCAGAAAGGGAAAGGCTAACAATACTTTATTTGCTAACTTCACATGAAGACTATTCTCAACCCAAAAAATCTCAACTACATGACCCAAACTAATTTTTGCTCATTTTTAAAAATACTTCCAAAACTACACTGATTCCTCACTGCTCTGAATCTTTGCAGATGAAGTTCATACTCACTAGAATGACTTCTTGCCTTCTTGTTTCTTCTCTCACTTCTCCAGGTAAGCCATGAAAACTCCTCCTACTCATGCACCAACTTACAACCTACCCACATTCCTCCTAGGCAAAGCGAAGCATATCCTCCTCTGTTCAATAACCAATAAATGAATAAAAGAATTTTACCCTCTTGAGACATTTTTGCTAATTCTGGAACTTCAACATAAAAGTTTTTTCTGAATGGTTCATATTCAATTTTTCCATGATCCACTGGTTCTAGAAGCTTTCTCTGTTTTGTCTGGTAGCCTGTAAGGGCCGTCTGAAGATCAACTTCTTCCTCCTCTGAAGAATACTATAATTAAAAAAAAAATAATAAGGAAAAAGCTAAATCCTTTATTATTTTCTCCTTACGGAAAACACTATTCCTAGCTTTCAAAATCCTCCTCTCCTAGAAAATATTCCTTGGCTTTTACTTTTTCACATTCTGAATTTTTCAACTTAGTTTCTTTTTTCTTTGTCCTTACAGAAAGTTATAATGACAATATAAAGCTAAAATAACAAAACAATTCTAATAAGGCTTTAAAGAAGTTTTGATATAGTTCTCTCTACACAAATCTTTACAATGCATGTTAATAGAAGAAATTTAATTCATTCTGTCACTTTATTTCTTCTCTTGCCTTATATGTCTGAGGTCAGTGATGAGGGGCAAAGGGGAAATCAACAAGTGGGCATGCAGAAAAAAGTCAAAGATGTCAAAATGTTCTACAGACTGGATATTCAGCAACAGCACTGTTGAGAAAAGCAAGAACTCCTCCTAAGAGTAGTTTCTAGAACTAAAGAGCACATCTCCACCAAATAAACACTTCTAGGATAGTATAATGACCAATGTCAAAATTAACAAAGAATTACCTCCATGGCATCCTGGTCATTCTCCATTAGCTCACCTTTCTTCTTATCAGAATCTACCACTGCTTTTTTGGTTGTCACTACAGTGACAACTTTTGTGACTGTTGGCCCAGACTTCTAAAATAAAAAAGGAATATAAAGTATGTTATAAAATTGAGAAGAAATTATATGCAAATGAAGCACAATGATAACTGTCACAATTTATAATTCAAATGACAAAAGGAGTCTGCTTTCTCCTAATGAATTTGTTTAAATTTTAAAATGTAACATTAACTGGATTATACAATATAAAGTTTACTATATATTTTATATAATACTGTTTAATGTAATTTTATATCATTTTACGTAATATATAATGTTATAGAACATATAAAAATGTAATATAATTCACTTAAAAATACTTCTAAATGGTACTTTTTACTCATTGGACAAGCCAGACACTGTTGAAAGAGCTTAGGATAAATCAATAAAGCAGGTAAAGGTCACTACCATTAGAGAGCTCTCATTTTACAAGAGAGAAACAATAAACACAGTAAAAACTAAATCAGATAATTTGCCAGAAGACAACAAATGCTATTAAAAAGAAGAAAAAGGGGCGCCTGGGTGGCACAGTCGGTTAAGCGTCCGACTTCAGCCAGGTCACGATCTCGCGGTCCGGGAGTTCGAGCCCCGCGTCAGGCTCTGGGCTGATGGCTCAGAGCCTGGAGCCTGTTTCCGATTCTGTGTCTCCCTCTCTCTCTGCCCCTCCCCCGTTCATGCTCTGTCTCTCTCTGTCCCAAAAATAAATAAACGTTGAAAAAAAAATTTAAAAAAAAAAAATAAAAAGAAGAAAAATACACTGGTAAAGGGGATCAGAGATATGAAAGCTGAAAGTGCCAATGAAGTCTGGAGAGGACCTAATGAGAAGTCAGCAGTAAGGAAAGACACTAAATACAGATGGTGGCAGTAAGAGCAACTTTTTGAAAGAACGCTTACAGCTAAAATTCCCTAATATCTGTGGGACTGAGAAAAAGCACTAGCATTTCTGAGAGAGGGGAGGAATCAAATTTATACACTGAGGCAAGTCAGTGGTAGGTCAATGTGACAAGAATTCGTTATCCAATTAAGAATACTGGAAAAATCTTTAAAAAATAAGAGAAAATGGTATACCTTTTCATTCCCTCCACCACCCTTCACACTTCGCATATTAAACTTTTTTACTTCCTCTTTCACTTCTTCCATATAAGCATCTAATGGATCTAACTCCTCACCCTCCATTTCATTTCCTTCCTTTTCAGCTTCTGCAGGATCATCTTCATCATCTAAAAGAGCAGAATCACTCTTTTGTACATATGTTTCAAAAGGAAATACTTCATAATCAGAATGCCTCTCACCGTGACCTCTTCCCTCACACCCTCCTTTCCAACCAACCCAGGCACGAAGCAGTTCAAATACTCAAACTTAACAAGTTATTACACTTAGCAAGCATGCATCAATTTTACATAATGATATAAATCACATGATACATTGAAAAGAGACAGGACTAAAAACTTTCTGTTAAATAGTACATTTCTTTCAATTACCTTTTTTTAAAATCACAAAAAAAAATCGCACATTTTCAATTCAAGATAATCTTTTTTTTCACATATCAAAGATATCATCACCCCTTAAAAATACATTCTCTTCATTTATTTAAACCACTCTGTGAAACTTTCATAGAAGATGAAAAATTCACCAAAATTTTCACGGAAAAATAGAGCAAAACTCCATTTCCCTATAAAATTTCACACTCTTTTACTTCACTAAAATCTAAAAGTAAAAATCATATACGCCAGGGAAATAGTTCCCTTGTAAGTTATGAAAAATCAGGAGGGACCTGAAAACATGCCTTTAACTTACCTTCATTACTAATATTCTTATTTGTAATAAAAAAATTAAAGAGCTATTTACTGACTGTGCCCATAAGAACTCAACTCTCCACTCTCAAGTAAAACCAGTGAGGGGCGCCTGGGTGGCTCAGTAAGTTAAGCGTCTGACTTTGGCTCACGGTTTGAGTTCGAGCCCTGTGTCAGGCTCTGTGCTGACCGCTGAGATTGGAGCCTGCTTCGGACTCTGTCTCCCCCTCTCTGTCTGACCGTCCCCCACTCACACTCTGTCTCTCTCTCTCAAAAATAAACATTAAAAAAATTTTTTTTAATAAAAAAACAACAAAAATGAGGTAAAATCAGTGATCCTTGGGGCGCCTGGGTGGCGCAGTCGGTTAAGCATCCGACTTCAGCCAGGTCACGATCTCGCGGTCCGTGAGTTCCAGCCCCGCGTCGGGCTCTGGGCTGATGGCTCAGAGCCTGGAGCCTGTTTCCGATTCTGTGTCTCCCTCTCTCTCTGCCCCTCCCCCGTTCATGCTCTGTCTCTCTCTGTCCCAAAAACAAATAAAAACGTTGAAAAAAAAATTAAAAAAAAAAAAATCAGTGATCCTTACTGAACACTATCCTACACTTTACATTTTAACATAAATATTATTAGAGAGATTTAATATCTCAATATGAACCCAGCAATTCCACTCCTAGGTATATTAACTAAAAAACTAAAAGCAGGGATTCAAATGTATATTTGCATACCAATACTTGCAGCAGCTTTATTCACAACAGTCAAAAGGTGTAAACAACCTACATATCCAATAGACCAATAGGTAAACAAAACGCAGTATACACATACAATGGAGTATCATTCAGCCATAAAAAAGGAATGAAATTTTGACACATGCTACAACATGGAAGAACCTTGAGGACATTATGTTGAGTCAAATAGGCCAGCCACAAAAGGGCAAAGACCGTATGACTGCATTTATGTGAGGTACTTACAAAAGGCAAATTCATAGAATAGATATTTTGGGGGATAAGTAGGTGGAGGGTAGGGCAGGATGGGGAATTAATCTTTGTGGGCACAGAGTTTCTGTTTGGGATGATGAAAACATTCTGGAAATGGCTGGTGATGATGGATGATACACAACACCATGAATGTACTTAATGCCATGGAATTGTACATTTAAAAAAAGGTTAAAATGGTACGTTTTTCCACAAGAGAAAAAAATGCCTAAAAATTTCCACTATGAAGTATTATTCATATTTCTAGAATATTCTACATGAATTGTTATATAGACTATTAGTGTACCAAATGAATATACCATCATCATCTTCTAAACTCCATTTTTTCCCTTGTTTCATCTCTTCAATTTCCTTTTTTAGTTCCCCTATGTTTTCCATGGCCTTTTTACGTTGCTCCTCTCGCCATTTTTCTACTCGTTCTTTTCGCTTCCTCATTTCTTCTTCCAGCTTATTCTGATCAAAGTTCTTGGGGTGGGGGGGACAAGAGAGACAGTGAGAGAAGGAAACAAAGATTAACAACTTAATTTCAGCAATATTCCAAATAACTTTTTCAAAGTATAAGAAAGGAAAAGGAAAAAACATGTATTTACAAACTCCTTAGTTTAGAAAAGATTTAGATCACACATCTTTTAAACATATCCACAAATACACCAGCAAAATGAATTCATAACAAAAAGCATCTTCAACTAAGAAAGCAGACAGACTTCAAAAACCATAATCTAATCTCTTTTTCATTACAGCAAAATACACACAGGAATTCACTTTCTTCCTCAACTAGAAACTAGATAAATAAACACACAAAATTCCCTAGCTGTCAGTTATTGTCAACTTCAAATCCTCTAAACTCCTCTTAAACTGCCACCATGAAAAAGAAATTTTCTATTAGAAACTGAGTAAGGGAAAGCTATGTACCAACATGATTAAAAAGCTTTGGTCAGGGGCGCCTGGGTGGCGCAGTCAGTTAAGTGTCCGACTTCAGCCAGGTCACGATCTCGTGGTCCGTGAGTTCGAGCCCCGCGCCAGGCTCTGGGCTGATGGCTTGGAGCCTGGAGCCTGTTTCCGATTCTGTGTCTCCCTCTCTCTCTGCCCCTCCCCTGTTCATGCTCTGTCTCTCTCTGTCCCAAAAATAAATTTAAAAACGTTGAAAAAAAAAAAAAAAAAAGCTTTGGTCATAGGGGGCACCTGGGTGACTCAGTTGGTTAAGTGTCCAACTCCTGATTTTGGCTCAGGTCATGATTTCACAGGTTCAAGAGATCCAGCCATGCATCAGGCTCCATGCTGACAATGCAGAGTGTTTGGGATTCTCTACTCATTCTCTCTCTATGCCCCTCTGCCCACCCCACAAAAGAAACAAAAAACATTAAAAATATATTTAAAAACAAAAAAACAACCAGCTTTTGTGTTTAGCCTTTAAGTTTAAGTTTCCTAGAAACAGCCTTTGTAAAGGCTTTATCCAGGGATACCTGGGTGGCTCAGTCAGTTAAACGACCAACTCTTGATTTCACCTCAGGTCATGGTATGGCAGCTGTGAGTTCAAGCCCCATATTAGGCTCTATACTGAAACTCAGGACCTGGAGCCTGCTTTGGATTCTGTTTCTCCCTTTCTCTATGCCCCTTCCTTGTTCGTGCTCTCTCTAGCTCTCAAAAATAAACATTTAAAAATGAATAAATAAATAATTTTTTTTAAAGTTCAAAATACATAGCAATAAAAAAAACAACAATCTGTGATTACAGAAACAAGCTTGATATTATACAATTATTTGTTAGTAAACATACACCAGCATCTTTTTCTTTTTCATCTTCCTTGTCATCTTTGTCTTTTTTCTTCTCTTTAGAACTTTCCCCACTATCTGTTTTCTCTTTGGACCTAGACCTACAAAAAAAAGAAAAAAAGAAACATCATCTATTTGTATTCAGAAACATTCACATTTAAAAATTTTTTTTTTAATTTTTTATAATTTTTATTTTTGAGAGAAACAGAGACAGAGTGTGAGCAGGGGAGGGTCAGAAAGACAGGAAGACACAGAATGTAAAGCAGGCTCCACGTGCTGAGCTGTCAGCACAAAGCCCAACGCGGGGCTTGAACTGACAAACTGCAACATCATGACCTGAGCTGAAGTGGGACGCTCAACCGAACTGAGCCACCCACACACCCCTTAAAATATTTGTAAAGACCTGCATTTTACTTTTTTTTTAAAGTTTATTTATTTATTTTGAGAGAGACAGAGGCAGCATGAGTGTGGGAGGAGCAGAGAGAGGAAGAGAGAATCCCAAGCAGGATCCACACCGACAGCATGGAGCCTGATGCAGGGCTCAAACCCACGAACCGAACCCACGAGATCATGACCTCAGCTGAAATCAAGAGTCAGATGCTTAAATGACTGAGGCACCCAGGTGCCCCGACCTGCATTTTACATTTAACTTCTGAGAGTCAATTTCACTTTCATATTACGTTAATAAACATCCTGGAAATATAATGAAAACTTAATCCTGTAAGTAGCAACAAATATCATTAATTATTAAATATTTGGCAATTTGCCCAAGAAAAAGTGGACATATCACATAAAAATAATTACAAAATTTAAATAGGAGGTAAAATTTGACACACAAAGAAATATACCAAAACATTAATATTCTACAAGATAATTTGGTATGTAATAATGTTTAAAACCCCAATAGACGTGCATTTTCCCCTATGTATGATATCTTATAATGAATAAAATTTCTTATTTTAATGCAATCATTTCAGTCTACTTTTACACCCCTTATAATTGGTGCTTTTAAAAGTACATTAGAGGGGCGCCTGGGTGGCTCAGTCTGTTAAGCGGCCGACTTCAACTCAGGTCATGATTTCACGGTCAGTGAGTTCGAGCCCCGCGTCAGGCTCTGTGCTGACAGCTCAGGGCCTGGAGCCTGTTTCAGATTCTGTGTCTCCATCTCTCTGACCCTTCCCTGTTCATGCTCTGTCTCTCTCGGTCTCAAAAATAAATAAACGTTAAAAAAAAAAAAAAAAAAGTAAAAAAAAAAGTACATTAGAGGGGCAGCTGGGTGGCTCAGTCAGTTGAGCATTCAACTTTGCCTAAGGTCATGATCTCACAGTTTGTGCGCGTCGGGCTCTGTGCTGATAGCACAGAGCCTGGAGCCTGCTTTGGATTCTGTGTCCCCCTCTCTCTCTGCTCCTCCCCCATTCATGTTCTGTCTCTCTGTCTCTCAAAAATAATAAAAATTAAAAAAAAAAAGATTGTTTATGCCATTGCATTTCTAATTTTTCAATCAGTTTGTCAAATACTTTTCTATCCATGTATGCTAAGAACCAGAAAAGACCCTAAATAGCAACAACAATCTTCAAAAAGAAAACCAAAGCAGGAGGCATCACAGTCCTGGACTTTAGGCTGTATTAGAAAGCTGTAATCATCAAGACAGTATGGTACTGGCACAAAAACAGACACTCAGATCAATGGAACAGAGTAGAGAACCCAGAAATGGACCCACAAGTGTATGGCCAACTCATCTTTGACAAAGCAGGAAAGAATATCCAATGGAATAAAGACAGTCTCTTCAGCAAATGGTGCTGGGAAAACTGGACAGCGACATGCAGAAAAATGAACCTGGACCACTTTCTTACACCATACACGAAAATAAACTCAAAATGGATGAAAGACCTAAATGTAAGGCAGGAAGCCATCAAAATCCTCGAGGAGAAAGCAGGCAAAAACCTCTCTGACCTCGGCCTCAGCAACTTCTTACTCAACGCATCTCTGGAGGCAAGGGAAACAAAAGCAAACATGAACTATTGGGACCTCATCAAAATAAAAAGCTCCTACACCACAAAGGAAACAATCAGCAAAACGAAAAGGCAACCGACAGAATGGGAAAAGATATTTGCAAACAACATTATTAGATAAAGGGTTAGTATCCAAAATCCGTAAAGAACTTCTCAAACTCAACACCCAAAAAACAAATAATCGACGGGCGCCTGGGTGGCGCAGTCAGTTAAGCGTCCGACTTCAGCCAGGTCACGATCTCGCGGTCCGTGAGTTCGAGCCCTGCGTCGGGCTCTGGGCTGATGGCTCGGAGCCTGTTTCCGATTCTGTGTCTCCCTCTCTCTGCCCCTCCCCCGTTCATGCTCTGTCTCTCTCTGTCCCAAAAATAAATAAACGTTGAAAAAAAATTTTTTTTTAAATAAAATAAAATAAAAACAAATAATCGAGTGAAGAAATGGGCAAAAAACATGAATAGACACTTCTCCAAAGAAGACATCCATATGGCCAACCGACACGTGAAAAAATGCTCAACATCACTCATCATTAGGGAAATACAAATCAAAACCACAATGAGATACCACTTCACACCTGTCAGAATGGCTAACATCAACAACTCAGGCAACAACAGATGTTGGCGAGGATGAGGAGAAAGAGGATCTCTTTGCATTGTTGGTGGCAATGCAAGCTGATGCAGCCACTCTGGAAAACAGTATGGAGTTTCCTCAAAAAATTAAAATTAGAACTACCCTACAACCTAGCAATTGCACTACTAGGTATGTATCCAAGAGATACAGGTATGCTGTTTCGAAGGGGCACGTGCACCCCAATGTTTATAGCAGCACTACTGACAATAGCCGAAGTATGGAAAGAGCCCAAATGTCCATGGATGGATGAATGGATAAAGAAGATGTGGTATATCTATACAATGGAGTATTACTCGGCAACCAAAAAGAATGACATCTTGCCATTTGCAACTACGTGGATGGAACTAGAGGGTATTATGCTAAGCGAAATTAGAGAAAGACAACTATCATATGACTTCACTCATATGAGGACTCTAGATGAACATAAGGGGCAAAAACATAAGAGACTCTTAAATATGGAGAACAAACAAAAGGTTACTAGAGGGGCTATGGGAGAGGGGATGGGCTAAATGGGTAAGGGGCATTAAGGAATCTACTCCTAAAAGCATTGTTGCACTACATGCTAATGTGGATGTAAACTAAAAAAATAAAGATTTTTTTAAAAATTTTAAGAAAACACAAAAAACACTTTTCTGAATCTACTTAAATAACTAAGAATTTTCACTTTGGCTCTTACTAATATAAAGTATTACAATGATACATTTTCTAATGTTAAACTAATCTTCCATTTCTGGAATAAATCCAACTAAGTCATAATTATTTTTTTTACATATGGTTGGATTTGATATAATATTTATGTTTAGAATGAGTATAGCCTATAATTTTCTCACACTGCCCTTGTCAGGTTTTAATATCTACATTCTTCTCAATACACAAAATGAATCGAGAAATGTTTCTTCTTTCTTAAGTCTCTGTTCATCAAAAGTATCATTGCAGAGTGAAAAGACAAACTACAGAGTAAGACAGTATATTTGCCATTCATAAAAATGACAGTAAACAACCATCCAGGATATTTAAAAATAACAACAAAAACTTCCTATAAATCAATTTTTAAAGAAACAACCCAACAGGAAAATAAGCAAAAAGATTTTTAACATACTTCAGAAAAGAAGAAATTCGAATGACAAGCAAACATATGAAAAGATGTTCAACCTCACTGGTAGAGAAATACAAGTTAAAACCACAATGATATTGGTATAACATATCTAACCAGTTAGCAAAAATTAGAAGGACTGACAATACCAAATACTAGGAAGGGTACGAGACAACACAATTATAATGTTTGTGGGAGTATAATTAGTATAACCCCTCTGGAAAGCATTTGGGATCACCTAGTAAAAACGAAGGTATGTTAATTCTTTTTTTTTTTTTTTTTTGAAGCTATGTTAATTCTATGGCCATGTAATTCATTCATATATACAGACTAGGGAAACTCATGCACATGTACACTAGGAAACATACATACAAATGTTCACAGGGCACCTGGGTGGTTCAGTCAGTTGAGCATCTAACTTCAGCTCAGGTCATGATCTCACAGTCCACAAGTTCGAGCCCCAGATCGGGCTCTGTGCTGACAGCTTAGAGCCTGGAGCCTGCTTCAGATTCCTTCTGTGTCTCCCTCTCTCTCCACCCCTCCCTCACTTGCTCTCTTTCTCTCTCTCTCTCCCCAAAATAAATGTAATAAACTTAAAAAAAAAAAACATTCACAAGCACCTAAAAGTTAAAACAACCCAAACACGTACCTCAGTAAAATGGATATATAGTGGTATATTTATGCCGCAGAATAGTATTCAGCAATGAAAACGACCTACTGTTATATGTAACACAGATGAGTCTCAAACAATCACCAACACAGATACAAAAGAATATGTGATTCATTCAGGTAAAGTTAAAAAAACATACAAATCTAAACTATTCTTTTTCCAGATGCAAACACAGATGATAAATAAATAGAAAGAAGTTACTAGTACAAAAGTCAGGAATGGTTTTATCTAGGGTAGTAAAGAGCTAGGTTAGAGAACAGACATGGATGGCTTCTGGAGATACTGACAATGTTGTATTTCTAAACCTTAGTGGTGTTTACATGAGTATTGCTTTATAATTACTTAATAAACTGCATATTTATACTTCATTCACTTTTCTGAATTTATATTTTAACTTAAAATAGTCCTAATGGACATTATTATATGGACCTCAGTAAAATAAAACTAACAAAATTAATGACAGGAAAAAAATCCTCACGACTAATATGAAGAAGGTACAGAAAACAGACACAAATTCATGTATTGACTATCCTTTGACACCACTTTTACAAACAGGAAAAGAATGAACCATTGACAAGACAAATATAAAGAATAAACATAAATGACACAGATAAAAAAGTAAACATATTATGTCTAAAAGACATAACCAATAACTCAAAATTGAATGGTACTGGCATGTTAAGGAAACATGTATATTTAACTTAACACAAGCAAAGTTCACACCCATCCTGAACAGCAATTCAGTAATACATGTCATGATTTAAAAACTGTCAAATGGGATGCTTGGGTGGCTCAGTCAGTTAACCATCTGACTCTTGATTTCAGCTCAGGTCACAATCTCAAGGTTCGTGAGTTTGAGCCCCATATCAGGTCCTGAGCTGTTAGCACAGAGCCTGCTTAAGATTCTCTCTCTCCCACTCTCTCTTCCCCCCCTTCTGCTCCCGCTCTCTCTCTCTCTCAAAAATAAACGTTAAAAAAAAAGTTATCTGTCAAATCAATGTTAAAAATGTTAAAAACATACCTCAAAAGAAAACCAGAGTTCCTAGGAAGAGGTTTATATAATATATTCCTGATTATTAAAAGTAGATATTAAAGAGAACAATGTATTGAGTGTTAAAACCAATCGAATCTAGTATTTTCCAATAATTTACAAGCTTTATAACCTATTAAAATTCAACCAACAGTTCATCATAGCAGCCAAAATCAGTGGGAAAAAAAAAGAAAAAGAGAGAAAAGGAATAGTGAAGAGTCAGTTCCCAACCTTCAAGACAGATACAGTCCAATGATAACATTACCTATTCTCAGCTTTCTTGCTTTTATTGCCAGGACTTGAGGATCTGGATCGCCGGCCTCGGCTTCTACTCCTGGAGCGTCTCCTGTCTCGACTTCGAGATCTTCTTCGCTCTCGACTTCGATCTCTCTCTCTACTTCTGGAACGCCTGAAAGGACACTTTCCATTCATTCTGTGACCAATTAGAGATTCTTTCAGATAATGTTTCTGTGCCATGTTGAAAGAGCTTCTTAATTATTACCATTACTAAAGGCTGAGATTTCAATTAACCATCAAATCAGATATAAATAGGGAACAATTGGGGCACCTAGGTGGTTCAGTTGTTTAAGCGTCTGCCTCTTGGTTTTGGCTCAGGTCATGATCTCATAGTTGGTGAGTTTAAGCCACACATCAGATTCTGCACTGACAGTGTGGAGCGTGCTTAGGATTCTCTCTCCCTCTCTCTCTGCCCCTCCCCAGCTCTCTCTTTCTCTCTCTCAAAATAAATAAATTTTAAAAATAAATAGATAGATAGGGAACAAGTAGGGCGCCTAGGTAGCTCAGTTTGTTAAGGGTCTGACTCTTGGTTTGGGCTCAGGTCATGGTATCTGGATTAATGAGTTCAAGTCCCTCAATGGGCTCTGCACTGACAGCATGACAGCATGGAGCCTGCTTTCAATTCTTTCTCCCTTCCCCTCCCCTGCTGGTTCTCTCTCTCAAAATAAATAAATAAACTTTAGTAAATAAACAGGGAACAAGTAAAGCCAATTCTTACAAATGGTCAACAAAAAACTGATACTAATTCCAAAATAATATTTGTTGAAAAACATAGCAAATCTGTCATAATAGCTTTTTGAAATCTACGGCCTACAGTAGAAAATCTAAAACCCAAAATCAGCCAAAACCTAAGTATAAGGATAGGCACAATGGGGCTATGGGAAGATCACAGACATGAAGAGTAGGAAACAAAAATTTCTATTCTAGAGCTGGCAGTCACATGACATATGGCAGATCAACTCTGTGGCTCAGTTTCCTTATCTATATGATATGGAGACTTTACTTACATAATCTCAAAATCCTTCTTGCTCTAAAACCTCATGATTCTTTTTTTTATTTTAAGTTTATTTATTTTTGAAAGAGCAAGAAAAAAAAGCACAAGTCAGGGAGGGGCAGAGAGAGAGGGAGACAGAGGATCCGAAGCAGGCTCGGCGCTGACAGCAGAGAGCCCTATGCAGGGTTCAAACTCATGAAGTGTGAAATCATGACCGGAGCCAAAGTTGGACACTTAACTGACGGAGACACCCAGGTGTCCCTAAAACCTCGTGATTCACTCTCAAAAGTTAAAGACATTATCTTAAGTAATCAATTTCACTTAACACATACTTGACTGAATTATATGAAACTGTTCCTGGGACCACATAATACAAAACTGAAGAAATTGCACTATATGCATTCTAAAAGATGAATATTCTCCTTGAGTACCTTTGCTAGTTCTCCTTCTAATGTTTGGAAAAAAATAGGGTTTTTTTTCTGTGATTAGTTCATAACACCTATACAACCCTGTCTTCTTTCCTATTTTAATAAAAAACTTATCAGAAATTTTTTTTGGTGTGGCAAAGATTTTTATTTAAAGACAGTGTCTTTCACCTCTTAGGAAGGTTATAGCTGCTTGATTCGTGCCTAAGAAAATGCAAGCATGTAAAATAAAAATTAGGGTGTTTTTTCGTTTAAATCTAAAATGGTTTTTAAGGGGCACCTGGGTGGCTCAGTCGGTTGAGCGTCTGACTTCGGCTCAGGTCACGATCTCGCGGTCCGTGAGTTTGAGCCCCGCATCGGGCTCTGTGCTGACTGCTCAGAGCCTGAAGCCTGTTTCAGATTCTGTGTCTCCCTCTCTCTCTGACCCTCCCCCGTTCGTGCTCTGTCTCTCTCTGTCTCAAAAATAAATAAACGTTAAAAAAAAATTTTTTTTTTAATAAAAATAAAAAAAAATAAAAAATAAAAAATAAAATGGTTTTTAAAAATTGTGTCAAACGGGAGCGCCCGGATGGCTCAGTCAGTAGAGCAATCAACTCATGATTTTGGGTAAGTTTGAGCCCCACAATGGGTGTAGGGATTACTTAAAAATACAAATCCTTAAATTTTTTTTTTTTAAGTGACAAACAGCAAGTAGGGCTTGGGTAGCTCTATCCTTTTTCCTTCTCCTATCAGCTTTAGTGGCTGCTCTGAACATAGTCGTCAGCGTTCTTGGGACAGAATTAGAACAGAACCCCCTTGACAACATATCACCTTATCTTCTACTGGCTTTTAAAACCTCCCTCAGGGGGCTCTGAAGGTTCTCTTTGGTTTGGTTTTGGTTTTGGTTTTTAAGTAGGCTCCACACCCAACACAAGGGTAAAACTCATAAACCAGCAATCAAGAATTGTATGCTCTACCCACTAATCCCAGCTGGGCACTGCCCACCCTTTCTTAATTTTTATTTATTTGGTTCTCTTTGGATTACAGGAAATAGAGCCAAACGTTTCCAAACGTAAAATACTGTTTGAAAGTCTTTATTCCAGGCAAATCACTTCTTGACCTAATCAAACAAGCTGGAGTTAAAACAGAGTGCCTATAAAGGGGCCACTAAAATCCAGTCCAAATCACACTTTTGAAGAAGCTGAATTTAGCTGACAGAGACCAATTTATCGTGAATCTTTAAATTCTTACCTCAGGCGCTTCCGGTCTCTTGACCGAGATCTTCTTTTATCCCTGCTACGAGACCTCTCTCTCCTTCTATCTCTATCTCGGCTTCTAGACCGCCTGTCATCTCCACGTTTACTTCTTTTGTCAGGTGAGCGACTTCTAGATCGACTTCCAGAGCGCCCCCTTGATGCTGACCGCTTCCGATAATGGCTAGAAAGTAAGGTCAAGATTAAGTTTAGGAAACACAGTTAGCTTGTATGATATTTCATTTAATCACATTTTCCCAATATATCTCAGCACACAAATTAAACAATGAAAGGACTTTGGTTTTTTTTTTAATTTTTTTAATGTTTATTTATTTTTGACAGAGAGAGAGAGAGAGACAGAGCATGAGTGGGGGAGGGGCAGAGAGAGAGGGAGACACAGAATCCGAAGCCGGTTCCAGGCTCCGAGCTGTCAGCAAAGTGCCCGACGTGGGGCTCGAACTCACAGACCACGAGATCATGATGTGAGCCAAAGTCGGACGCTCAACCGACTGAGTCACCCAGGTGCCCCAACAATGAAAGGACTTTATACACATAAACTCTTTTTTTTTAAGTTTGTTTATTTAAGTAATCTCCACAACCAACGTGGGGCTTGAAATCACAACCCTGAGACCAAGAATCACATGCTCTTCTCACTGAGCCAGCCAGGAACCCCTACAATTCTTAAAATCAGAGGGAAGTAATGATTCCTTCATTTATAGTCCATGTAGAGAGGGAAAAAAAAACTATCTTAAAAGGGAAACAAGGACAGTAAAAAGAACAGATCAAACTCCTGCCTCTGGGTCCCAAGCAACTTGCATTCTGGTAAAAAAAAAAAAAAAAAAAAAGGGATGACCAGTAAAGAAAAAAATAAACAATACATCACCATCACGTGGTGCTATGGAGAAAAACATATTAGAGTAGATGAAAGAGAGGATGGGAGGTAGGAGGTTTGCTATTTTACACTAGGTGACTAGAGAAAAATGTGCTAAGAGACATTTTGGAAGTTTGAGAAAAGTAAAAAGAACCGTGTAGATATATCGGGGAGAAACTTTTCAGGCACCACAAGTGCAAAGACCCTGAAGACAAAGTTTGACTGGTGTGTCCAAGGAACAGCAAGGAAGGCAGATGTGGCTAGGGCTGAATGACCAAGAAAGAGTACCATGAAATGAGGTCAGAGATACCACAGCGCAGCCAAACATGCACAGATTTGTAGAGCCTTATAGATCTGAGTAAGTTGAGGTTACTGGAAAATTTTAAGCACAGGAGCAACGTTACCTCAGTTTTTAAAGCATGGAGGTACCTGGGTGGCTCAGTTGGCTAAGCATCCGACTCTTGATTTCAGCTCAGGTCATGACTTCATGATTCCTGGGTTAGAGCCCCACATCAGGCTCTGCACCAATAGTACGGAGACTGCTTAGGATGCTCTCTCCCTCTCTCTCTGCCCCTCCCCAACGAATGCATATGTGCATGCCCTCTCAAAATAAATAAACTTAAAAAAAAAAAAATTTGGCTACTGAGGGGAGAACAAACTGAAGGAAGCCAAGTGCAGAAGCAAGGAAAACAGGTAGAATGCTATAGCAATCACCCAAGTAAGAGAGTAGTGGCATGGATCAGAATGTCAGGTTCAGAGTTGCCATAGGAAGGGTCAAAATGTAGGTATCACGGAGCTAGAGCTGATTGTATTTAAGGACTAATTCAATGTCAAGTGGGACAGCAAGGGAGAAGTCACGAGTGTTGCTGAGATACTTGCGCGGACCAAGCAGAAAGACAAAGTTGCTGCGTACTAAGATAGGAAGCTTGAGGAGGAGTAGATGTGGGGGGAGAGTGGGAAATCAGGATATTAGGCATTCACATGGAGATGTACAGGAGGTAGTTGAAAATATGAGTCCAGGGTTCACCAAGGGAGTCATCAGTGTACAAAGGCTACTTAAAGCGATAAACGTGGATAAGATGGCTAGGGAATGAGTATACCTCATTATCCTTTAAGCACGTGAAATTAAATGTGTAGAAACCCAAGCTTATTTTTTAATGTTTATTTATTTTTGAGAGAGACAGACAGATAGACAGCATGAGCAGGGGATGCTCAGAGAGAGAGGGAGACACAAAATCGTAAGTAGGCTCCAGGCTCTGAGCTGTCAGCACAGAGCCCGATGCAGGGCTCGAACCCACAGACCATGAGATCATCATGACCTGAGCTGAAGTTGGACGCTTAACTGACTGAGCCACCCAGGTGCCCCTAGAAACTCAAACTTACTGCCTTTCCCTCCCCAAACCATTTGTCATCCCAACTTTGAGTCAGTAGGCTCAAAGTATCAATTATCTTCAATATCTCATTCTACACAACCAATAAAACACCAAATATCACCAATTTCACCTCTGTGATTCTTTTCAATTTTATCACCTCCTCAGAGTTCTGTCATGACTCCATATCAAAGTTATGTAGTTAGGGCATTTTAGAAGACCTTTAGAAATCTTGCTTCTACCCTCTTTTCCCTTAAATCTGTTTTACTCATTGCTGCTAAGGTAATCTTCATAAAGCAGAATTCTGACCACATTATAAACATACACACTCATTTCTTAAAATCTTCAAAGGCTCTCAATTAAAATCTTAACTTCGAAACTAAATCTACAATCCACCCACATTCTGGACCCAACTCCATTTCAGAACCTACCTCCTACCACTTTTCTTCAACCTTTCATGACACCTTCATATGCAGGCAAACTGGGCTCTTCACTTATTTCTCTAACACCTTGATCTTCCCATCTCTGAACCTTTCATCAGTCCCTAAACTAACCTAGAAAACAAGCCAGGGAAGAAGGCTAAAGGGCTGGAAGAGACTTAATTGTGAAGGGCCCTGAAGGCGGGCTGAAGAGTGTGACTTCATCTTGAAAGAACCAAAACAGACAAAAAGAGAGGAATGACATAATCTTTATTTAAGAAGTGTCACTCTGGCTGCAGTGTGAGGAATCTATTAGAAGGGCAAGATCACAGGAAAATAATCAATTTGAGGCAAGTGTAGCAGTCTGAGCACTAAATAATTAGGTCTGAATTAAGTCATAGAGAGCAGGAATGGAGAGAGGATATAGAATCGTATTGGGTTGAGACAGTTAAGAGAGAAAAATGAATCAAATAAGTACACTTGCAGGTTTCTGCTCTGGGTAGCCAAATTAACAGCCAATGCCTTCAAGAAGATTTAAAAGACACCCCAGGAATTTTGTGCAGATGTAGAAATATTCTTTATCTTTATCCGGGTGATGTTTCCACAGTTTATGGATTTGCTAAATTTCAGCAAGCTCTACCCTTAAGCTTTGTCTATTTCCCTGAATGTTAATTATATGTCAATAAACTATTAAGGGTCAACTGGGTGGCTCAGTCAGTTAAGCCTCCAACTTCAGTTCAGGTCATCATCTCACAGTTCATGAGTTCCAGCCACGCAGTTGGGCTCTGTGCTGACAGTTCAGAGCCTGGAGCCTGCTTTGAGTTCTGTGTCTCCCTCCCTCTAGGCCCCTCCCCCACTTGCACTCTCTCTCTCAAAAAATGAATAAACATTAAACAATTTTAACAAAAAATAAACTATTATTTATATCCCAGATAAAAAGGATCTTTTAGTAACTGCTAAATACAAAGCAAATAAATACTCATCGCTGAGATAAAAACCTCAAGGTCCCAAACCAGGTAACATTCTAAAGTTTTGAAGAGATATCCTAATTCTAGTAAGACCTCCCAATGCACAGCTTTAAAAGGACAGAAAAACACGTAACAAAGAAATATGAAATCTATCTGCAAAACAAATCTCCATGCAACAATTACCGTAGACCACTAAAAGCCTAGTCATGTACAATGTTGTAGGTGATGTAAAAATATTGGTCTCCACGCTCCTTTCAACTGACTTGGGAAAATACCACACAAAGAACTAAAATAGGCAGCAACAGGCGCCAAGCAAACGTGGCAAATGCGAACTGCAAGAAATTCAACTGGGATCACTGCTGCCAGAGCGATCACGGTGGGCTCCATGGAAATGGCGGGATGTGGTGCCCAATCACTGACGCCCTGGAGGGGTGGTCCCACTCCAGGGGCTGGAACCGGCGAAGGCAGTGCTGGGAACCCCGTGGCCGTCACCGCCCCAAATACAGCCACTCCCTCGGCCGGGGTCCCCCAACCCCTCTAGTGGCCGAGGTCAGCGCTGGCCGCACGTGGGGCCGCCCGGGGTCAGGCCTGGCCCCGCTGGCACCTCAACTCCCGCCTCTTTCCCCCACTTCAAGGAAACCGCCCGCCCGCTCGCCCTCTCAGCGCGCCGCCTCACCGTGACTCCCGGCCCATGCTGCCGGCCGCGGGAAAAGCGGCACCCTTCGGGACAATGCGCAGGGTAACCGGACAAAAGAAGAGGCCGCGCCGCCCTCAGCTAGCCGAGCGAGGAGCAGCACTAAGAGAGAGCAGCAGCCCCAACGGTGGCAGCCATCCGAGAGCAGCCAACGAAAACAGGACGTGCTGGCGCCGGTGGCAGAGAGAAGGGAAAAGCGGGCCGGAAGCTGCTATCTCTCCACAGCGACTCCTTTCGGCTGGAGGCCGCACAACGCCGGCCGCGCCGCAAGACGCGTCCTTTGCCGGGTTTTCCCTGCAAGCCTCGGAAAGTTCGTGAGGTAAAGGAAGGCTCCTTGGCTTTGCAGGCCCTGGGAGGGTCTTTCCTTCAAGGGCCACCGAGACGCCATAGGCATCCCCCAGTTGTCCCAGGACTTGTACTGCCGTCCCCCTTAACCTGCGCTAAGTGATGGTACAAACATCTCCATTCACAGATTCATTTATACATTCATTTGTATGTATTGTTATGCGTGCTGTATGTCCTAGATCTGAGGAGCTTACAATATAGTGGATACAGACATAACTAAAACCACAAGTAGATATAAGAAAGAGATTACAGCAAAGGAGAGGGGTTCAAAAAGAGATCCCTGAAGATGTGACCTTTGAAGTAAGATGTGAAGACTGAGAAGTTGGTGGAGAAGAGGATGAGAGCTAAAAATCTATTTGTAAGAGTATAGTGGTTCTCAATATCGCCTGAGCTTGGAAGTTTTAAAAAAATACATGAATGGGGCACCTGGCTGGCTCACTGGGTGGAGCATGTGGCTCTTGATCTCCAGGTTGTGAGTTGGAGCCCATATTGGGCATAGAGATTACTTACAAATAAAATCTTAAAAAAAGAAAAAAAATACATGGATGCATGAATACCATACCTAAATTCTGATTTAATTGGTCTGGAGTGCTTCTTGTGCATTTTTGAGCTTCTTTAGTGATTCTGAAGCACGCTCAAGGTTGAGAATGACTCACCTAGCATAAGCACTGTTTTAGCAGAAAGCTGTAATGCTAAAGTTGGAGAGAGGCTCTTATAGTTTACGTGCCTCTTTACTTTTCTACTTTCTTATACCTAAGGATGACAGAAAAATTCTAGATTGTGACTGTGGCTGTTGACGCATGGATGTATACATTTGTCAAAACTCATTGAACTGTAAACCTTATTTTTTATTTTATTTTAAAGTTTATTTATTTTGAGAGAGACAGAGACAGTGCCAGTGCAGGAGGAGCAGAAAGAGACAGAGAATCCCAAGCAGGCTCCACACTGCCAGTTCAGAGCCCAACAGGGGACTCAGTCCCACAAACCTGAGATCATGACTTGAGCCAAAATCAAGAGTCAGGTGCTTAACCGACTGAGCCACCCAGCCACCCTTATTTTATTTTAATTTATTTTTGAGAGCGCACACAGGGAAGGGCAGAGAGAGGAAGACAGAGGATCTGAAGCAGGCTCCGCATTGACAGCAGAGAGCTTGATGTGGGGCTCCAAGTCATGAACTGTGAGATCAAAAGCAGACACGACCGAGCCACCCAAGCACCCCAGAACTGTAAACTTTAAATTTGCATATTTAGGTGCACCTGGGTGGCTCAGTCCATTAAGCATCCAACTCTTGGTTTCAGCAGGTATTCCAGCCACTCTACATTGCTTGTATGTGGGTAACAAGTGTGGGTTTCAGTCTAGGAAAAACAGAAAACCACTAGTGACTTAAACATGGAAACCCTGAGAAGGGGTCAGATCCTGGATGTATTTGAGGCAGCTCTCCAAACACTAACTGATAAAGTGGACATGAACTGTGAGGGAAAGGAAGGCATAAAGAGGACTTTCAGGAGGTGCCTAGGTGGCTCAGTCGGTTAAGTGTCCAACTCTTGATACCGGCTCAGGTCATGATCTCACACTTGGATGGAGTCCCATGATGGGCTCTGCACGAACATGGAATCTGCTTGGGATTCTCTCCTCCCCTCCTCTCTCAAAATAAAAATTAAAAAAAAAGAGGACTCTCGGGTTTTGAACACAACTACTGTGGGTCGTGGTGAACTTATAGAAACAAGAAAGGCATGGAAGCAGATTTGGCAGGGGAAGGAGAGGAAATCAGTGGATCTGCTACAGTAACATGTTGTTGGAGATGCCTACTAGACATCCAGGAAGTAATGGCCACATTAGGGGATACATGAGTGTAGAGTTCAAGGGAGAAATAGAGGTTGTCTGAGAGATAGGGGTCATAAGCATTTAATAATGGGGTATTTGAAGCCATGAAAATGGATGAGGCCATGCAGAAGTTAATGTTACAGCTGGAACAGATTTTTTAAATCATATACTTGAATTTCTTGATTTTAAGTGAGAAAACGGAGACTCAGGAAACAAACTTAATCCTAGGTCACTAATCTTTTTGGAATCTAAACTGGAACCAGAACCCATGCATCTGATACCCAGCCCAGAGCTCTTTTCAAGATAATGCATTTCTAAATCCCCTTTAAGAGAATATAATCATGTGACAATTCTGATGGTCTTTTTAAGTTCACAATATGTTTACGTTAAGTTCAAAGCAATTCTATGTCCCAGAAAAAATTCTTTTAACTATTAGGACAGGTAAAAGAAGTAATTATAGTCCAGTATGTCTCCAATACATCACTTTTAACAAAATGCCCTGGCTTCCCAAACAGATTTTGATTCTAAGTTCATTTTTTTAAGTATCGTAAGTAATAGTTTTAAGTAATCTCTACACCCAACATGGGGCTTGAACTCACAACCCCAAGACCATGAGTCACATGTTCCTCTGACTGAGCCAGCCAGGCACACCTAATTAACCAGCTCTAAGTGTCTCATAACCCTCTTATTGTTTTTAGGACCAATGGTGGTGACACACATCCATTTATACAACTAATCTGGTCGAAGATGTCACTTTTCCATCTAGTTTTTACTCATATACATTTCGAGTCCTTGAAATTTCTGAAGTAAAAAATTCTTCATGATTCCCTACACTAAGAAACTACCATTTCTGTTTGACACTACTCAACAAACTTAAGCAAATAGTAAGGCAGATGCCAACTGGCTCAATAAAAAAAATGGCACTAACAGACACAGACATAGCCAACTCTTCCCTCTGAAATAAATTTGATAATGATCTATAATTATTAAAGCTTGGCATGTGTCAACCGACTGAATGGGGATTTTTTTTTTTTTTTAAAGACACAAAAGAAGTTAACACGTACAATTGAAGACCACTAGTGTCTTCCTAGGGATTGGGAGGAAGATGACAAATCCAAGGATGCTTGTTAATCTTCTTGATTCTAGATTCATTATGGAATCAGGAAGAACATGTGCTCATCATCTTATCCTAAGTCAGGGGATACACTTAAATTACTATACTTATTCTCTATTATTCTAGTTCAAAGTAAAATGACAAAAAATGAAGACTTTGGGAGTAGTGAAAAAAAAAAGGTGTATTTTTTAGCGGTGCCTGAGTCAGAGGGGCGTGCAACTCTTGATCCTGAAGTCATGAGCTCAAGCCCCACACTGGATATAGTGATTACTTAAATAAATAAAACTTAAAAAAAAAAAAAGATATATATGCTTTTAATTAATATATATCCTTTCACAAGGATTAATCAAATAGACCATACAAAAATCTTTAAGGTAATGTGATAACAAGCAAAATTAACACCTAATGTTTTATAACCTTCCAAATATGACAGTTACCAAGTTAGTTAAAAGGGTATCTATGATAGTGGGTTGCATACCGCAGTCAATTTTCAAATTTCATTTTTATACATACTAATCATGCTGTTCTAGTTTGCTTTAAAACCTTAGTTGTAGAAAATGAAAACTCAAAAGTGAAAATTTCCAATTCTGAGTTTGGTAATAAAAAAATTTTCATAAACAAAAATTAAAATAAATATCCTCATAAATACCTTCTAAGTTCACATGTATGAATGTTAATCACTTCATCTATTACTCCATATTTAGGCTGAAGTAAAAATTAAGATACTCAACAAGATAAAATTGGCTACCTTATTCAGCTCTTATAAGTTAAAACGTGCAGACTTAACATTAGACAATTCAGTTTCTTTCATTTTATTTTTAAGACAGCTCCATTTCTCAGGACAGAACAACACGAATACAAGTCGCAGCCTTTGGGGCTGGCTGAGACCGTGTGCATCTGCTCTCCTAAAAGCAGTAGCTCGGCTCCCAAAAGAGGAATTACAAATCTTAGAAGTTAGGGAAAGGTACAGACTAGGGATTCTAATCAAACAAGAAAAGTCAATTAGTGACCATGGTAGTATATTCTTCACATCAGTATTAATACAAACTCAACACTTTTAAATCAGGGAACCTGCCATTCCATGCCTAATCAAATGATTTTACAACCCTATAAAGTAAAAGAATGACATAAAGGTGTAAACTGATTTGCCTCTTTTAGAGACACTGCAATATAGATGAGAAGTTGCTTTTTTATAAGCTTCTCCTTCTGTGTTCTCCAAGCTTCATGGTACTTCAGAGCCCCAGTAATTGAGGAGTTCATGACAAAAGATAAAAGTGAAAAAGTAGACACAGAGATCTGTGAAAACTTCTCCCATTTTACTATAGGTATCCATCGATCGATTTATCACTTCAGCAGGAATTCCAGATAATAGAAGTGCAGCTGTTAGTACTGTTGTCTTTATCTTCTTTTCACCCTGTACACAGAAAGACTTAAATAAATCTTACAGCTTTCAGAAGACTACTTAAGCTCTATACATACATGATCAGTGCTGCTATTTTCGCCGAAATGATTCAAAACTATTACTGAAGTTTCAATACATCAATCAGTAATACATCAACCAACATTTACTAAGCATATAATGTGTAAAGCATATAATGCCTATCGCTAGGCAATAATGGGAAAGACACAATTCATGCTATCAAAAGTGAAAAAAAAAGCCTTAGAGGCAAGGCAAAAATAACAATTTAAGATATATACAACCGCACAAGACAAAAACAGGAAAAACATTACTACACAGGACATAAATAACTGCTAAATGAATGGCATGGATAATGTATAGCATAGTGGCTCAAAGCAGATAGAAATTAGTCCACGGTTATATGCATAAAGAAAGCACAGTGAAGATCTTATTTCAAAAGGAAGTAGAATTGGAAACTGAAAACA